ATTGGACTTGAAATTTGATGAGTCTTGAGTCTCAATTTAGATCTGAAACTGGATTGTTTACTCGCCCTTTTTGTTTCTCCTCGTCATCTTCAGTAGTGTGACAAGCTCTTGTGATTCTTGGTCTGATTGTGTTTTTAGTGTGTCATTTTGTGAAATTATGGTTTTTCTATAGCAACATGGAAGAGAGATTAGCTCACCTTAGCTAAGGCTGTCTCCATCGCATTCTTTACTCAGTGAACCTCTGTTGATTCGGTGTTCTCGGAATCTGCAATAAGAAGGTTTGAATTTGTTGTATGACTTTATTTCTATAATTATTAGTTTCGTTTACTAAAACCCATACCGGATGATCTGAGGTTCTATATGTTAATTTGGTTGGTATGGCTTATGTCTACTTTAACATGACAGAGAGACTTAAAGGCTGCATGACGGATGCCGGTGACGCTAGTTTTAGGAACTGGAGAAGGAGAGAGAGACATTTTCTAGAAGATGGTTAAAGTTAAGAGGAATAGATAAGTTTTGTGGAGATGCACATAGGGTTCATCTAAGATGAGAATCATATATATATGATTTACAGAGGGGCTACAAATCAGGAACATTTATGATCAAGCGATGTAAGATGGGGAGATACAAAGTTCACCGGTGAAAAAAAATAGATTACGAACAGACACACGACGCAGCTCTATAACTCAGACCTGTATGAGACAATGGTGAAAGGAATCTTAACTCATTTTAAACATTAACGGTTTACAATATGGGAAAACTGTAACTTTTGTAAACTTGANCAAATCAGGAACATTTATGATCAAGCGATGTAAGATGGGGAGATACAAAGTTCACCGGTGAAAAAAAATAGATTACGAACAGACACACGACGCAGCTCTATAACTCAGACCTGTATGAGACAATGGTGAAAGGAATCTTAACTCATTTTAAACATTAACGGTTTACAATATGGGAAAACTGTAACTTTTGTAAACTTGAGGATTTTCTTCATATAATATGATGAAGCTCAATTAAAAATGAAACTCATAATACACTTCCAGGCCCGAACTTTAAAGGAGGCCATAGATGCAAAGGCTTCCGGTTAAATATATATTAGTTTCGGCCATCAATGTATAAGTTATCTTGTAGTTTAGTGGTATGAATGTTAGTGTTTGTTTCTTAATAACCCGGGTTCGAATCCTATGTTTGATATTTTTTCACATTTTTAAAGTGGGACCCACCTAATGCTGATGTGGCGCGTTGAGGAGTCTTGAAACTCAACTATTATAATATAGATTGCCTATAATCTTTTACTAAAGTGGGATTATATCTTTGAGATAAAAGTTAAAAACAAAACCGAAGACAAAAACAAAAACCGTTTTAGGAGTTTGCTTGAGATGAAAGTAAGCTTACTTGGAGCATCAACCACCCAATCATACGACTTGATGTGCATTGTACCAAAGAGAAGCTTGCTAAAAACTGTCATCCCTGGATGGTTATGAAGAGGAATGACACCAGAAGGCGGCAAACAGAAAATCGCAATCTGATATAAAACCCTAACCATGGTTACTTATATCACAAGCAAGAGACAACACAAGTGAGAAAGAGTGTATTGAATGAAGTTACCGAAAATTGTTCACATTCGTGTAGAGGCAGGTACATTATCCGTGGTGAAGACTCATTTTCTGGTCCAGCGATTGGTCGGAAATACGGCATGGTCGGAGTTAATCCGACATCCTCTGGTTTCATATTGTCTATATTTCATATTATCAAAAAAATTAAATAAAAATCAAAACTTCATGGAAACCAAACAACAAAGAGAGTTGAATTTAAAATGTTAATACCAAGAACTCCTCGTAGCTGTTGGATTTTATCTTCGAACGGAACAACTCCAGAGCCACAATTAGAGAACACTTCCTTACATGTAAGAAACAGCCGCCGAACCGCAGTGATCTCTTCCACTGGAGCAGCAGCCTTCTTCCGTCGCCATGTCATTACCATACTCTTCTTCTTATTATTCCTATTCATTTTATTTTTATTAGGGCTCTTAGCCTTATAGTGATTCTTATTACTACGAGTCAATCCCAAAACGTCTTTCTCTGGTTTCATTTCAAACCCCACCAACGACCAACAAAAGACAGAGAATTTGTCACGGGAGGATCAAACTGAGAACCTGAATGTTGACATGGATTGAGAAGACAGAATGAGATATATTAGAGGATTTGAGCTCAGAGAAAGGGAAAGTTAGTTATGAAAATGTAAAGCTCAAATTAACTGTAAAGTGTTTGTTACAAGTATTTATACTACCGGTTCAATCTCTACTAAACCATCTAAACCGGTATAACATTATAATTCCAATACCCTCCCCTCAAGATGGAAGACACAAACTGTGTATTCTCATCTTGTCAACTAAACTCTTAAATAAACCCGGTTGTACTGCCTTGGTCAGAACGTCAGCAAGCTGCAAAGCTGACTTGACATGTAGAGTCTTCAAGAAACCACTCTTCAAACGCTCACGAACCACATGACAGTCAATCTCAATATGCTTTGTACGCTCATGATAAACCGGATTAGAAGCTATGTACAAAGCAGATTGATTGTCACAGAATAGAAGTGCAGGAGACAATGGAGGACAATACAGCTCACCCAGTATTGTCGACAACCAAATAAGCTCGCATGTGGTATCTGCCATAGCTCTGTATTCAGCCTCTGAACTACTTCGTGAGACAGTCTGCTGCTTCTTAGAACGCCAGGAAATCAAAGAATCACCAAGGAAAACACAGTAGCCTGTGATAGATTGGCGAGAGTCCGGACAAGCAGCCCAATCTGCATCAGAGTAAGCTGTGAGTTTAACCTGAGATGTAGCAGAATAAAAGAGGCCTTGACCTGGATCATTCTTCAAGTAACGAAGAACTCTATAGGCAGCCTGCAAATGAGCATCAGTAGGCGCAGACATGAATTGGCTGAGCTTGTGAACTGCATATGTTATATCAGGGCGAGTATGAGTGAGATATAACAATCTTCCAACCAATTTCCTGTAGATAGCCGCATCTGATAAAGCAGTTCCAGTAGTGAGAGACAGCTTGAGATTCGGTTCCATAGGAACAGATAAAGGTTTACAGCCAAGAAGACCAGAATCTTCAAGCAACTCCAGTGTATACTTCCGTTGATTAATGGAAATTCCAGTATCATTTCGAGCTATTTCAAAGCCCAAGAAATATTTTGCAGACCCAAGGTCTCGCAACTTGAAAGCTGTCTGGAGGACCAGCTTAAAAGCAGAAACAGCAGCATCATCATTCCCCACTATCAGAATATCATCAACGTACACAAGAACTGCCAAGAACTTCTTGTCTGCATACTTGACGAACAGAGAATGATCAGAATGAGTTTGAGTAAAACCATCATTGAGAATCACCTCGGAGAGTTTATGATTCCACTGCCGTGAAGCTTGCTTTAATCCATACAAAGATTTATGAAGTTTGCACACCGAGTGAGGAGGTACTTTCTTCCCAGTCAACTCCTCATAACCATCTGGTAAGCGCATATAAATCTCTTCATCAAGATCTCCATTCAAAAAAGCATTACTCACATCCAACTGCGTTATAGACCACTTCTTAGCTGCTGCAAGTGCTAAGAGAAGACGAAATGTTCCAATCTTTGCCACTGGAGAGAAGGTATCCAGATAATCCAGCCCCTCTAATTGGGTATAGCCTTTTGCCACAACACGAGATTTATGTCGCTCAATGGTTCCATCAGGGTTATACTTAATGGTATTAACCCATTTACAACCAACAGCTTGTTTCCCTGGTGGTAGTTGACATATAGACCAAGTACCACTTCCTTCCAACGAATTCATTTCAGATTTCATAGAGTTCTTAAAATCCTCAGATAGAACAGCCTCTTTATAGGTTTTGGGTAAGCGGGTTGTAGTAATGGAAAGAAGGAAATTCCGATGTTCATCATCAAACTTATCATATGAAAGAAAAGATGAAATTGGATAAGGAGTAGTATGTGTAGGATGAGCCGGGAAAGTAGGAATTTGTTTTAAAAGAAAACAATGGTATTGATCAAGATAAGCAGGAGCTCTAGTTTGTCTTTTTAACCTAGGTTCAGGTGCAGAAGGAATAGGAGAACTAGACAAAGAAGAAGAGTTAGGAGGAATGGGAGATGGAGAAAGAACAGAACCAGTGTTAGACGTGTCATGAAAGAAACTAGGATCAGAGATATCATCACCTAAATCAAAGTAAGCAGGAAAAGAAGAATCAGGAACAGGTAAAGGCAACACATCTTGATCAAAGAAACTATGATAAGCAGTAGAAGTTGCATCTTTGGAAAAAGGAAACACAGTTTCATGAAAAATGACATTTCGAGAAATTGAGATAGTGTTTGTGTCAATATGCAAAACCTTATAGCCTTTAAAACCATTTGGATATCCAAGAAAAACACATGGTGATGCACGAGGACTAAATTTGTTCCTATCTTTCAATAATGTTGAAGCAAAACACAAACAACCAAAGATCCGTAAATGATCATAAGAAGGAATCTGATTTGTTAAAAGTTGATAAGGGGACTGGTCCTGTAAAAGAGGAGATGGAGTTCGATTTATCAAGTACACAGCAGTTTGAACACATTCACCCCAATAAGCTAAAGGAACATGAGATTGAAACAAAAGAGCACGAGCCACATTTAAAATGTGTTGATGTTTCCTCTCGACGACAGAGTTCTGTTGAGGTGTGTAAGGACAAGAAAAGAAATGCACAATGCCATGAGTTTTAAGAAGAGAAGTAAACGCAAGTTCTGGAGCATTGTCAGATCGAATTGCCTTAATATTGGCCTGGTATTGTGTTTTAACAAATTGAATAAACTCAGGAAACACTTGTGCAACAGAACTTTTGTCTTTCAATAGGTAAAGCTCAAATTAACTGTAAAGTGTTTGTTACAAGTATTTATACTACCGGTTCAATCTCTACTAAACCATCTAAACCGGTATAACATTATAATTCCAATAAGATATAAAACAGGGGACCAAAGAGAAGAGAAGACAGAGATACCATTATGGATACAAAACCAGGGGCCATTCTTTTGCTTCCTATGGGCTGTCTTATGTTTTTAAACTGCGGATTCTTTTTATCCGTTTCGGTCTTCGCAAAGGAGTAATTATGGAAATAACAAAATGAAATTATTATTATTTTTTTTTTTTTGTAACTGGCCTTAAAAAAAATATATTTGTATACAGTATTATGAAATTATATATTTGTATACAGTATTATATAAATGCTACTTGGTTCCTCTGTTTTGTCGGTTTAAACCCGGTTATTCTAAACTGGACATTCAATTTTATAAATTAATTCTTGTAAACAATGACGATTTTTCACTTGCGGCATTGCTGATTTATCAGCTATGGTAGCCAATGAGGATGGTTGATGTAAACTCCATTGATATGATTATAAATTCAATTTGAACACCCTTTCCAAATCGTATAGTTGCTTTAATTGAAAGCATTGGTATGTGTATACTTAAGGGAAATGTCCATTGTGGCCCTCAAGTCTCTTTTGTATGCAAGTAGTGAGTACTAGGAATCTTTGTTTTTTATATGGCTTTGTTGATCTAGTGAATTACAAGCTCAAATTAGAAAACTACTATTGATTGGACATAAAGGATACTGACACAATCATTTGGCAAGGAAATGCCGAAAATACCCTTTCTCTTTTTTCTCATTAACACGAAGCGTAAAAACATTTGTTAACATATAACACTTATGTTAACGTCTACAATATTTGTTAACAGCCAACACATTTATTACCGCGAAGCGTAAAAATAATTGTTAACAGTTAACACTTTTGTTAACGTCTACAATATTTGTTAACAGCGAATATATTTATTAACGCGAAGCGTAAAAATAATTGTTAATAACTAACACTTCTGTTAGCATCTACAATATTTGTTAACCGCTAACACGACGTTGAATCTAAAACCCAGAAAATTGATATCATCAAAAAAAATGTATCACTGAATTTTGTATTTCCAAATCACATTGAGTAAATTTAAAATTTACAATTATTATTTAAGAATCAAAGTGAACTCAAAAATATTTAACATATTTATTTTGCATGTAATTCATTTTGAAAATGATAAGAGGAGAGAAGAACATTGATAACGAAAATGAAAAAAAAAAGTGACACACCCACATGTAAATGCATGAAGGAAGGAGAGAGAGAAAAATGACAATTTGATCAGACAAAATAAATATGTCCCATCATGGGCAAGTGACTAATATACACCCCCATTTGGGGTGTATCGGCCAATTAACTCTATAATATATGATGTATTTTCAACTTTTATCATCAGATTCACATCATATCTTTGTCTATATTTTTTAGCGAATATACATTATCATTTATCAAAATAATTTGGTCTTTGAGAATGAAGACTGAATTCATTTTTCTAAGAAGATAATAAAGATTGAAACGTCATCTATACCAATTTTAAAACACTGAACCAAACTATATCAAGACTATTAATTTATGAATAAATACTATTATATAATGCAACAAAAAACCAGAGCAAGAAAGTAATGTATCAGTATAATATATGTGTATTTAAGTATTTAGATTTCTCGTTTATCATTGCCATCCGTTCCTTTTTAACATGTTTTAAAGACAAAATCTTTATATACTCATATCCGTGTTAGAAACTTATATATAATTTTTTGGAATAGTACATATTGCATGTTTAATTAGCATATATAGATCTATGTTACTTTATGATCAATTTTGGAATATTAATCAAAACTAGATTTTGACCCGCGCTTGAAAGCGCGGAAATTTTTTATGATTAAAATTTTATATAATTGGGTTTTGTCTTAATTTAAAGAATATTTTGATATAAAATCAGTTCACCAAAATTTGTGGTGATGATTGTTTTTCATTAGTTTTTAGTTTCCGTTTTTATTTTTAGATTTTGGTTTTTTTGTTTTTAAGTTTCTACTTTTCATTTTCAGTTTTTGGTTTGTGTTTTTAATTTTTAAACCCGCTAAGTTAGTTTGAACTAATATTACCAACAAACAAATCTCAAATAATCGAACATCTAATTTAAAACTGAAAAAATGATAACAATTTTTTTTAAAAAAAATTTGAAATAGTTTATTTTGTAAATAAACAAAGCAAAAAAATATAACATGTGTTTTCAGCTTTTGGTTTTGGATTTTAGTTTTTAGATTTGGTTTTTGGTTTTGCTTTACATTTTTTTAATCAGTAAATTATTTAAGAAAAATAAAACAATAAATTATTTAAAAGTTACCATTGAAATTTATCAAAACAAAGTGATTTTTATTTAAAATAAAAATATATATTAACATGTTTTAAAGTAAATGAATTAAATAAATGATTAATAATGGATAATTTTGTTTTCTTAAAAATATTAAATACCTTTTGGGTCTGAAAATAATAATTGATTTTTTTGATCTTTTAAGGTGAAAAGTTTATTCAATGTTTTTGGAGTTTTTTTCTTAATACTAAGGCAAAAAACCAAACTATCCAAAAAATAAAAGTAAGTCCAAGACCATATTCCATAAATAAACACTGGTTTAATTTAAGTATAATTAGTAGATTTCCATATTTTGATGATATATATTATTCTAGAACATTCCATATTTGTAGGAGAAAATATGTGTTTTTGGTATACATATAGATACCTGCCGTATTTTGAAGGTAGTTTACATTAAGGTCATCTCTTTTGCATTAATTGTGTTGGTTTAATTTAAGTAATACGGTTCAATCAATTATATGATTTATATTATTTGTAACATTCTAGAAAGGGTCCAAATTTAAATGACAACTTATATCAGTAGATAAAAATAATGACTCTATTTTAATAGAGTAGATGCCACCCAATATGAATTTACTGGAATACAAGAAGAGAAGTCATCACAAAAATACAAGAACGAGCTATTACACTTACTCTTATATTTGTTTTGTTGTGTTTATAACACAAAAATACATATACAAATTAAAACGCTTTTCATTTTCACCCCTTAATTCTTTATATCCTAAACTAGATAGAATATAAAAAAAATATCAAAATGGTGAAAAAATTTGTCTTTAACAAAGACATTAACATAATAAAAAAGGAGATGTTCTAACAGCGTCTTCCGACTCTGCAATCAAGTGCTCCTGCGTATTTGGTCAGCTTAGAAACAGCATATCCATTTTTAGGTTTAATCATTTGTTTCCTCGTGTGAACGGTTTTGTAATGAGGATCACCAGATTGTCTGAAATAAGCTCCGTTCATGAATATATCTTTCTCCGATCTCCAGGTCCAGTGTTTCCACTCGTCTTCAGAAGCATAATCTCTCTTTGTCACCTACGTTAATTAGTTTTTTGCATAAGCTTACATGCAATAATGTTACTCATTGTTTTATTTTTGGCATTTTAGTTACCTCTTTGTAATAAGGTAAGTGTGGAGGAGCTATGAATCGGTTTCCGTGGCTGAGAATAGTGGGACCTTGACTACCTCCGATAGCGTAAAGCTCCCAATGTGTGTAGTCATTGTTCACAACGTGAACAAATCCCCATCGGATCCTTGGCATCCTCTGCACAAGTCCTTTACCAAAATGGTTATAAGCAACTGTGATTTGCATCTTCTGGTCCGCTTCATTCATATTGTTTTGCGCACCAAGCAACATCACCTACACAAACAACATATATAGTAGTCTAGTAACTATTGCTCTTAATAAATGTAACGTTACAATCTAGGTTTTATCGCATATATTGCAATTAGTTGATCATCATATATAATAGAAATATAGATTATATTATGGGTAAGAGTTCTCACGTCGTTGTGGTGAGTGAAGTGAGAGTTGGAGATTGTAACGGCAGTGGATCCAACAATTGCATCAATTAGTCCATCTTGACATTTCGACATCGAAACATGATCAATCCATATGTTAGACGAACCGTATATAGATATACCATCACCATCAGCTCTAGTCCTCATTCCAAAATGGTCTACCGAGTCCCGGATCATACCACCGCTACTCTCGGAGATATGGTGAATGTGTAGTCCATGGATAATAACATTTCTCACAAACTGCATCGTTATCCCTGCGCCATGTGCGATATGGACATCAGCTCCACGTGCATCGATCGTCTTGTCGCTATTAACCAAAAGCTCTTGGTTTAAACGAATGTGCATGTCGTTCTTGAAAATGATCCATAGAGGTTCCTTTTGTATCACGGCGTGACGCAATGTCCCTGGTAAAGGGTTCACCATGTCCTCGTCGAGGTTGCTTGTTACCACGTAGATACGTCCACGTTTCCCACCGGTGGTTCCGTGGCCGAACCCGCGGACACATTTAGCAAGCCTCTTACGACGCTTAGCCCAATTCCTACGGCAACGCCAGCCTTTATCTATCGGGTTACTTGCTGTACACGGTCCCTTAAGCTTGCTCCATTTTCCTCTGCCTTTTAAGCTTCGTCTAGTGCTGTTCGTCGAGTTCCTGACCATTTCAATGACCTGATCTGTTCCCGCCTCTTCAGGCTTCGTGCTGCTATCTTCCTCTGTCTCGGTAACATCAGTAGTGTTGCTGTTATCTTCCTCTGTAGCGGTAACATCAGTAGAGTTGCTGTTATGTTCCTCTATCGCGGTATCATCAGTAGAGTTGCTGTATACACCAAACCAATATAAAATTAAACATTAGCAATTTTTTTGGTTATTTGACAAAAAAAAATATTTTTTTTGGTTCAAACTTATAATATAGACTTGACTTACTCGTAATGACGTTCATGAAAGTGATCGACGATTTCGTAAGGATCAGAACGATAAGCTTGAAGAGTGAACTCTCGAGCTTCGTTGGCTCGTTGTGACCAATACTCGTCCATCTCCGCAATGTTGGCTCGTAGGGTCGGAATCAGACAGGCAATACAGAACATAAACATCAACTTTGACAACCAAGCCGTCTCCATCTTTTAAAAATTACGTTTGATCTAAAAAACAAAACAGTTTTGTATGAAAATATAAATATTTTTTCCCTTTGTTTTCTGAAGGGGCTAAAATTTAAATGGAGAATTACTAAATACTAAGCTTTCAACATGGCTTTAGGTCGTTTTTTCTGTTTTATTTTTCTTTGAAAGCCTAGAGCCTTAAGACGATGGAAAGTACTACGAATTTTCAGAAACGTGAATGATTGATGTTTATATAAACTTGATTAAGAAGCAATCTCCAATTTTAGGAAGTTACCGCTAAGGATGGAGAGCCCCATTGTTAATTTATCTGTGGACAATATGTTTTCATTTTACGATCATTATTTTTAGCTCTCAATTTTCTTTGTTTAGATTTCATTTGAGGTAAAAATAGGTATTTACAAGTTTTTGAATGATAACATATTTTGGATGGATTTTGCATTTATTTTAATCTATTATATTAATAAAAGTTTATCTTTTAGTTTATATATGGGTTGTGAAGCTTAAATATGGTTAGTACGTGATATTTCATTCTCGTTACAAGTTTCACTAAATTAAGTTGTCGAGGAAGACGAATGTAAATATGTATATATATATATATATATGTTATATATTTATACATCTATATATTCTAGACTGGTACTAAAATAATTAAGAAAACCTCAGTTTGACTATAAATGAGATTTTAACTTCAAATAAATACTTATTTGTTAATTTAAAATAATAATAATACATTTGATTTGGGGATAATTATGTTGCTAGCATTTTTCAAAGTGAAATAGTAGCTAACATTAAAAAGAACTCCATGAGGCTTTGATTCGTTTCCACAGACAAATTCAGCTTTCAAATGTTCCAAAGTTTCTCGGTTCAATCTAAAATGGTAAGCATTTTGCTTCCTTCTTGTTAGAAGCAAACATAAAAGAAAGACAATTCCCTATTTTTAGCAAAAAAAGAAGACAGGGTGTTCTGTGTATATTTATAAATGGAAAATGCTTATTTCTCAATTATCAAAACAAATTTGGAAACAAACAAATATTATGCTTGATGATTACTTCCCTCCCAATTCACTTCTTTATTCTTTTGGTTTTTATTCTCATCATAAGCCTATAATCTTAGTTGAAACTTGCAAGAATATCGGCTAAGTAGTATGTATACTCCATGTGTATTGTACTTTGTACTGTATAGCCTTTTTGACTTGAAATGGTCATACATTATACAGTAGGTACACATTTTAGATGCACAAACGAGACATTTTTGTTATTTTCAATTTAATTTAAGTAACTTATGAAAGAAAAATAAATCAAAGGCTATAGGATTAAAGTTCTGTTGGAGCATATTTAGCTCTTCTTTGTTCATGCAAAAGACAAATTAAACAGCCTTCTCTTTCTCTTTTGTTATTTTTCTCCTTTACGTATATATGTTTGGTGAGAAAAAAATGCCAAAAACTTAAACCCAACTCCATAAGAATTGGCAAAACTGTTTTGTAACAATAAAAAGAAAATAAATTTAAGTGCAGAGTTTCAACAAACCCAGACTTTAGTCCCCCTCATCGTTTTTCCCTTTAAAAAAAAAAAACCATTGTGGAATCAAACAGCTTGAAATTCAAGAGTTCTACATTTGAACCAAAAAAATTAAAGCCATCGACTTTACCAATATATATACCACAAGTTCAAACAGATTTTTTCATTATAATTTTGAAAGAAAGCTGTGCCTTCTATTTTCTTTCAGATTTTCATTGTTTTCTTTTGGGTTTTTATTGTATGAAATTAACAAATTTCAGACAATAAACCCCAATTGTTTAATACATAGGATAAGGATGATCTCTTGGCTTGATGTCTACCATGTTTTTTCAGCAACTGTTCCTCTCTATGTTGCAATGATCCTAGGTTACCTCTCTGCAAAACATTTAAATCTCTTCTCTCTCGAACAATGCGCAGGCATCAACAAATTTGTCGCCAAATTCTCCATCCCCTTGCTTTCTTTCCAAGTAATCTCCCAAAACAACCCTTTTAAAATGAGCCCTAGACTCATTCTCTCAGACATTCTCCAGAAAATCCTAGCCTTTGTTGTATTAGCCGTCGTTTTAAGATTCTGGCGTCCATCAGGAGGAAGAGGAGGAAAGTTGGGTTGGATCATAACCGGATTATCTGTATCCGTGTTGCCAAACACTCTCATTCTTGGAATCCCAATCTTAAGTGCCATTGATGGAGATGCAGCTGTGAACATCTTGGTGCAGATTGTTGTGTTGCAGAGCTTGATTTGGTACAACCTCTTGCTCTTCTTGTTCGAGATTAATGCCGCGAGGAAGATAACATCTTCTGGAGCTGCCATAGAACATAGAGGTAGCTAATATATTTATACATTTTTCGCTTTTTTCCAGTAAAGAACTTCCTTTAACATTTTACCCTAATTAAAGATGTCTTTCTTGTAAAACAAGGCAATGACAATGAAGAAGCTGATATAGAGCAAGAGCCAAAAGAAGAAGAAGTAGCAATAGTGAGAACAAGATCTCCTGAAACTGGGAAGATTCTATTGAAGGCTTGGCGAAAGTTTATAACCAATCCTAATACATACGCAACATTGGTTGGATTAGTTTGGGCTACTTTACATTTCAGGTGAAACAAATTTATCTTATATATCTAAAAATCATAATCAGTCTTTGTTCTGAAAATGAATTGATAAATCAACTTACACATGTAAAGGTTTATTTTTCTCTTTTCAAAAAGAAAAGCGATAATTTAGTAATGCTTCTCCTACTTTGAGCTTTCTGCGCTTCATTATTTTTTGTGCATGTACAAATTCAACTTTAAAGACAAAATCTAAGTGGGATAGTCTAATGATATTATTCCACCTATTTAGATTTGTTATTTATTATAGTTTATAACATCAAATGTGACTCATTATTTCTGGTTTTCCTATAGATTGGGATGGAAATTGCCTGAGATGATCAATAAATCAGTACATATGATATCTGATGGAGGCTTAGGAATGGCCATGTTCAGCTTAGGTAATCTCTCCATATATTGTAAATAATTAGTTTCAGAATGACCAACTCAAATAAAATATGAACAAGCTAAAAGTTTCAAAACAAGTAAAGATTTAAGCTCATAAGATCTTTGTTAAGATATATTGTATTAAGCAAATATTAAGATTAATAATGAAATAATAGCTCACTGGAGCTTTTTTTATTGCAAGGAAAGTATAAAGGGAAATATTAGTTTAGTGACACCATCACAATAGTTCTTTGATGATAGCATAAAATGGGAAAGAAGTGGCAACTTAAAGTTACTTTACATTTATGTTTTAACACATTTATATTTAAATGAATAACTTGTTTAAGAACCCTATATAACTACATGGCTTTTGGACTTGTTATGTGTAATAGTGGCTTTTTTTTTTTTAATTGTAATATTGGCTTCATATGAATGCTTTTATAAAACAGGTCTTTTCATGGCATCACAAAGTAGTATCATAGCATGTGGAACAAAAATGGCGATCATAACAATGGTCCTCAAGTTTCTATTAGGACCAGCTCTTATGATTGCTTCTGCATTTAGCATCAGATTACGGAGTACTCTTTTCAGAATCGCAATTTTACAGGTAAACAACTTGAAATTAGTAAATCCATTAATTAGACTTAGAGTCTTATCATTAACTTGTTGAAAACAATAATCAGTTTCTTCCTCCTTATCGTGTTGCAGGCTGCATTGCCACAAGGGATCGTGCCATTTGTGTTTGCAAAAGAGTATAATGTTAATCCGGAAATCGCTAGTACGGGGTAAATATATTGTCATCTGTTATTTCTCTCTCTTTTTTTCTTTCTCAAAAAATGTATATTTTCGAAGTTTCATTGTAAGGTTTTAATTGTTTTGCTTTCTTTTTTCAGGGTGATATTTGGAATGCTAATTGCCTTACCAATAACTTTGGCATATTATTTTGTATTGGACCTATGAATACGACATACATGTTATTAATTAAGAGTTTTTATTTTGTTTTGTTGTAATAGCTTTTATTTTCGTAGTGTTTATGTCACATTTTAGTCATGGGATATTAAGATGTTGATTGGTAAAGCTAGCGTCCAACCGTTATCTTTATTTATGTGTATATTTATAACTTAGTTTCTCATGATATATTTCGATCCAAATAAAAGTTTCTGATGAGATTAAATCTAAAATTACCAAATAATTTCCGTAAGCTAGTAGAGAATTAAATGATGCTAATATAGAAGTATAGATAATTTAAATCAATAAGAACATCATTTAAAGTAAAACTAAAAGCATCTAAACAAAATTTTCAAATAACAAATCAGATTGTGATGCAACTCTACACATCTGATGAAATATTATTAAATTTTAAATATATAGAAGGAGTCAAAAATGATTTAAATAAAGAAGTAAAAAAAAGGGAAAATTTCATATTAATACACAACTTTAATTATTATTTTCAACTTAATACACAACTTTTAAAAGTGACCTTAAAAAAACACAAACTAATTGTTTTTGTTCTTTTAATACCTCAACTAAACCCCGTGTATCCAGATTATATTGGCTCGTTAACGCCATTATTGAAACTGTTAATTCTGTAACATAATCGTTAATTTCTGCCTTTTAGCATTAACCCATGGTTAATAAACTAACCTTAGCTTAAAAAATCGTGTCTGCTTATATAAACACAAAACAATACAAATACTTGAGAAAAACACCACGACTAACCACAATAAGACACGACCAACAAAACAAACACATAAGAGCAACCACTAATTACGTTAAGCCATGGACGATCACAGAAACAACTCCAACAAAAGTACAAAACCCACCCACGATAGGATTACAAATTGTTGCAGCTGCTGTTAGAAGATATTGTTTCTTCTTGAACAAGACACATAAAGGTTTCACTCATGAAAGAAAAAGAATGTTTTGTAATTAACATGCTCTGTTTTGCTCTGTTTTTATGAAAGAAAACAGAGTATAACTGAAACTTATTTTAATTGAATGTGAAAAACAACTTGTAGTTTTTACATTACGGCAATAACGTTAAATAGAACAGACACGACTTTGTGGTTAGAAAGACATGATTCTTCTTTAAGCAGTTGTGACTGTCGATACGTAACTAACTTATACAAAGCAATATTATTAATTTTACCAACTATACAAAAGCTTATGGAATTAGAAACTCAATTATTCAACAAATTCATAGTCACAAATTCAGTTTTCAGCTTCATTGTTTCCTACTCCATTGCAGTCAGTATTTTTCTGATTTCTCTACTCTTTCTTCATTTATGTTGCTGTCAACTTCACCCAAATTATGATTACTTATTTCTTGCATCTTCTTCAGCTTTGATTGTAAGTTTGTAACCCAACAATTACAGTTTTCTTCCCATATTATCGTCCGTCCCAGCCTTCATAACAATGGATGATAATCCACACATACACTTCATATCTCCCATTGCAGTGCTAAAACTCGCCGCGGCTTCCATTAGACCCCCAACCCCCAGATTTGGCTTTGATGTATTTCTCTTATGTATCTCTTTCCCTCTCTCTTTGAATCTCTTTCCTGTCTCTATTATTCGTTGAAGATAAATTAGGTTTCATTTGGGAATATTTAAGCTTAAGGTTAGTTTATTAACCACGGCTTAGTGTTAGACGACATAAGTTAACGATGTTAACAGTTTCAATAATGGCGTTAACGAGCCAATATAATCTGGATACACGGGGTTTAGTTGAGGTATTAAAAGAACAAAAACAATTAGTTTGTGTTTTTTTATGGTCACTTTTAAAAGTTGTGTATTAAGTTGGAAATAATAATTAAAGTTGTGTATTAATATGGAATTTTCCCTAAAAAAAATATAAGAGAAGGCGGCCTGTGTGCCACGCAATGAAAATGGAATAGGCCAAAATAAAAATAAAATAAAGAATGAACGAGGAGATAAATAAAATAAAATAACTTGGTGAGTGGAGAATAAATTAATCAACGGTTGTAAATCAGGGAAACCGACTCAAGTGAGATATATCCAACGGCTAAGATATTTTTGCTTGATAAAGAGGACAAAATAAGAAGAGATATATAGGGTTTTCTTCTTCCTCCTTATAATACACACACCACATTTTACAGCTCTTTCTCTGCTTCTCTCGTCTTTCATCACAACTTCTTCAAGAAAACAATCATGAGTAAAGGTCCAGGACTCTATACCGAGATCGGCAAAAAGGCTAGAGGTATTAATAAAAAAAACAATCTTGTTTTATAAAAGTTATGGTTGCATCTTTCTTCCATGTTTATGAGCTGCTGATGCTGTTTCGTTTACTTTTCGATTTAATCATATCTGTTTTGTTTGTTTATTTGTGTTTGGTAATGAAAGGGTCATTCTTTGTTTAGCTGTATATAAGATTTCTTGGCGGATCTGAAAAAAATGTCAACCGATCTATATATAGTAACTCTGTTTTGGTGTGGAGATTGTAGAATGAGTTTTTTTTTTGAATTTGTTGTCTTTGGATTGTAGATCTTTTGTACAAGGATTACCAAGGAGACCAGAAACTCAGTATCACGACATACTCTTCAACCGGTGTTGTAAGTCATTCTTCACACTTGTTTTGTCTCTGTCTGTTATTTTGTCGGAATAAAGGTTTGTGTGTTTATGTGATGTTTATTAAGTCTTTGTTCTTATTGAAAGTCGGAGACTTTATGTGTGTTGTGATGATTATTTTGTAGGCAATAACAACAACAGGAATAAACAAGGGAGATTTGTTTGTGGGTGATGTAGCTACCCAAGTCAAGAACAAGAACTTCACTGCTGATATCAAAGTTGCCTCTGATTCTTCTGTAAGAAACCATCACCACATATCTTGTATTTAGAGATCATTTAAAGCTTTTCTTTGACTTGTTGCTTTCTGCTTTATTTCAGCTCCTGACCACTTTCACTTATGATGAGGCTACCCCTGGATTGAAGGCAATCGTTAGCGCCAAGGTGCCTGATCAGAAATCTGCCAAGGTATATATAACTAAGTTCCTTTCATGTAATAGTTTATTATGTATGAATCTTTATAACAAATTGTTTGTGTTGTTGTCTTTTTGAAACAGGTTGAGCTCCAGTACCTGCACCCACATGCTGGTATCTGCACCAGTGTTGGGTTGACAGCTAACCCTGTTGTCAACTTCTCCGGTGTGATTGGAACCAGCGTCTTGGCTCTTGGTACCGATGTCTCCTTCGACACAGAATCTGGCAACTTCAAACATTTCAACGCTGGTGTGAGTTTCACCAAGGATGATTTGATTGCTTCTCTTACTCTGTAAGTGTTGCCTGTTTAACTATCAATCTCTACTTTCTTCGTTTGGGTGTTTGATCTTTCTTGAATTGTTTCTTTTTTAAGGAATGACAAAGGTCAGAAATTGAATGCATCATACTACCACATAGTGAACCCGTTGAAGAACACAGTGGTAGGAGCTGAGGTTAACCACAACTTGACTAACAAAGTGAACACTATAACCGTGGGAGCTCAGCAGTCTCTTGACCCATTGACCACAGTGAAGGCGCGTGTTAACAATTCAGGTATAGCCAACGCTTTGATCCAACACGAGTGGCGTCCAAAGTCGTTTGTGACCATCTCTGGAGAGGTTGACTCTAGGGCGATTGAGAAGAGTGCCAAGGTTGGGTTTGCTCTTGCTCTCAAGCCTTGAGAAAGAGAAGGAACTCCATTGTCTTCTTCTAATCTGTTTTTTTTTTCTACTTTTAAAAATTGTTCATTTGTTTTTCTTTTTTTTTCGACAAAATAAGAAGAAAAAAAATACTATGAAAGGATCGTCTTTGAAGATGAACCATACAAGTCTCTTTCTTGATTATTTGCCTCTCTAGTTTTTTTTTTTTTAATGCTCTGCTAAAAACATTCTTGTTCACTCGATTTGATTTTCGAGTTCTTTAGTGGATTTTCTGAGAGGTTCTTCACTTTCCTGCTTTATTTTCTTTGCATATGCTCTGGCATCTTTGTCCATGTTCAACATATTCGAATCTATTAAGAATTATTCTTCAGCATTTATCATGTCTCAACAGTGTTTGAAATGTTCTTTTGTATAATTTATTTATTAGTACAACAAACTCATCAATGGTTGTAGAATCACCGTGCTCTAATTGTGAAGTTTTAAAAAACTTAGCCTAATGTTTAAGATTAAAGACTTCTACACCAAGTTTCGTTCGAATCCGTGACAATACGATTTCTTGTGTTCTTAATTCTTACATTAATCCATGCAATTTCTTACCGTAACATCGGTTAAAAACGTAAAAGCTTTAAACATTTAGGCTTTTTGTTTGTTGTCCACCACCGCTATGTAGTTGCTGGTCCTTGTAGGTTTTGGAGAAGGAATCTGATGTCTATAAGGCGAGGAACCATGAGGACTAGACAACGTCCTAAACACAGGTTGTGGTTGACCACCCTTTCTTGATCCAAACCCGTTTCCTCCCTGAGATCCATGAGGACTAGACAGTGTCCTAAACACGGGTTGTGGTTGCCGACCCGACCCGTTTTTCAAACGTTCAGCTTGCATTGTCTGAAAGTAGTAAGAAGAGCTCGCCATGTCTTTGAGATGCGGAAGTGGTTTCAGGGATTCCACAACATCACTCATCTTTGGCCTAATCTTGGGGTCACGGCTTAGACACTGTGCAGCGAGCTGAATCACTTTTTGTGCACCTTTTATCGAGAAATGACCTTCCAGCCTCGGATCAAGTAACTTGTGGAACCTTCTTTTGTCAAGTAGATGCGGTCTTGCCCATTCCACTAAGTTGTGTTCACCGTTTGGACGGTTCTTGTCCATAGATCTTCGTCCAGTTAGCATCTCGAGTAGAACCACGCCGAAACTATACACATCGCTCTTTGACGTCAAGTGACCTTAACCATTTTAATGGAAATGCAAATTAACAAACAGTTTTGGATATTTAAAATGAAGAAAATGGAAGAAAGCAAAGAGGGGACTCACCGGTCATTACATATTCAGGAGCAGCGTAACCATATGTACCCATGACACGAGTGGAGACATGTGTTTTGCCTTCATCAGGAGCGTCTTTAGCAAGTCCAAAATCAGACAGTTTTGCATTGTAGTCCTGAAAAAAATGTGAAGTTATAATAAAGAAAAAGTGATGATGTTGATGGATAGGAGTAAAGATACATACTGCATCAAGTAAAATGTTTGAGGTTTTGAAATCTCGATAGATGACCGGCTTTAAAGCTTCTTCATGGAGGAAACTGAGACCTTTCGCAGCACCTACTGCAATCTTCATCCGAATAGACCAAGGAAGAGGCAACGACCCTTTTAACATGCAACAAAAGGACCTTTAAAACATTGTAAACTTACAAAAAAAGAGTTTGGTCTAAGAGGTTGTAGAGTTACATACTTCTAAAGAGATGATTCTCCAAACTTCCTCGAGGCATAAACTCGTAAACAAGCAGTCTTTGATCATCTTCTATGCAATAACCAACCAGCTTTACAAGATTTGGATGAAGAAGGTTCCCAAGGAAATTGATCTCAGCCTGTAATGCAACAAGCAAGAGTATATAAAGAGGGGAACTAAATGCTAACAAGGAAAGAAACAGAAGAAAGTTGTTCTTACAAGCCATTCTTTGTGACCTTGAAGTCCATCAGGATTTAAGGTTTTAACAGCTACAGTAATGCCAGTACCAGGTTTAACAGGAGCAGTACCGTGTTCTTGGATCCATCCCTTAAAGACACAACCAAAACCACCTTCTCCAAGAAGACTCTCTGATCTGAAATTTCTAGTAGCTAGCTTAAGGTCATTGAAAGTGAACTTGGTCAGGTTAGAATAAACCTTAAGTTCTTCACTGATCATTGGGGTTGAGGATGAGCTTCCTGATTTGCTAGTTGTTGTTGTTGTGGAGGAAACTGGTTGATCATTTGGTTTCTCATTTGCATCTTTACTTTCCACTACCAAAACAAAACCAAAAACTTTCCTTGAGAACATCAGGCAAAACTCAGAGTAAATAAATGAGTAAAAGATGTAAACTTTCAATGATCTCAAGCAAGCAACCCCTAAATTAGAAACATATACACTTATGGAAAGTTAACCCACAACAAAGGTTTTTTCATTTTTTTTTTCAATTCAGAGAATGTATATGTATACCGGTGGGGCTGGTAGTGGCATAAAGAGAAGAGGAAGATGAAGAAGCATCAACATCTGGTTTTGAAGGTACGCAACCAAACATAAACCTGAAGTTGAGCCAACACCCACTTGCTTCTTCTTCTTCTTCCCCTTTGTTTTTCTTCTTTTTGTGATTCTCACTCTCTTTAGATTGCTTCTTCGATTGCAAGTTTACTTTAGCTTTGACAGCATCAGTATCTTCCAAACCCATCTCTCCAACACAGACAAAAGAATTTAAAAAAAAAACAAACACAGATGGTTTACTGATCAGACCAACATATAGTTCTTGCAAGAAAAAAAAAACAAAGGGAGTGATTTTCTGATGAAAGCAGTGAGATTCGCTGGGAACGGATTAAAGAGAAGGCGAGGTCGCAGAAGAATTTTAGTCAAAAAAGGAGAACTGATGTCTGCGGAGAGAAAGAAGAAAAGAGAGAGAAAAGATGTGCAGAAGAGAAAAGAGAAGAGTAGACTGACTGACTCTTCTAAGCTATAGAGGAGACAGAGACCAAGCAAAAACAAAAGTTTGAGATTTTTTCACATGTGCTTCCCCACAATTAACAAATTACTACTAATACATTTATTAATTTAAATCACCCGGTTTATCGTTTTATTAATTCATTATCATTATTTTAGCTACAAACATTGGTTACAATTTACAAACCTTCCTCCTTGATATGTGTTGTGTCTGTGTCTCTTTTCTTTTTGTCTGGTTGGAACCCAAATATCAACACTTTATTATTATTCTCCTTTGGGAAAACAAAAGGTACGAATCAAATTCCATTTCACATTAAATCTTTCTTTCTTCTTTTCCTCGAAGTTCGTGATGGAATCCAATTTAAAATCAAATAATTTTTTCTTTTTCGTTTAAAGCTTGGGAATTTAATTAGCATATTACTAAACCAAAAACGAATTGTTAAACAATTAAGGATTCTGACAATGAACATTTTTTCAGTTACTCAATTAGAAAGAATGAAAAAAATTGTGTCCAGCAAGGAAATGGATTTGAGAATATGAATCTGGCAATGGTCTCTACTTACGTTGTTGACTTTTTCACATTAGAAGCAGAGTTCTTGTTGAAGGGCCAGAGTTTAACAAGACGCTCGAGCACGGCGGCGCTTTTCGAAAAGTAACCTGAGAATCCTGCCGGAATTGATGCCGGAGGGAAATCCTCGGCCGGCATTGCAAATGGACGTATCATCTTCTCCATTGTCTCTAGTGTCAAACACGAACAAACCTCTTGTAGCCTCTCTGGTCCCATTATCGGAAGTGTGTGTTCCCTCAGTAACGATTCCGCTTCCTTGTCATTCTTCTGTTGTAGCATCATAAAACCATTTTATTTTAATAGATTAACAAAAAGTTGGGTCGTTACTTCAATAGCCTTAGATACAATTATAAAACCATGATGAAGAGTTTGGTCTTTGCATTTATACCTCTAAGGGAGACAAATCTGCGCCACGGCTAAATGTAAGTTCAATTCTGAATCGTTTCGGGTCTTCCACAGATACCTGCAAGTAACATTTTGTTAGGTTTCAGTGTCATAAGTTTTAACAACTTGAAAGCAGCAATGAGAGAGAGAGAAAATAAAGGAGAAAGCAACGTAAACCTCAGTGTTCTCGAACAGTCTTAGGACAATGTAGCTCATGTAATCAAGCTCTTTGGTCTTACAAAGGCGTTCCAATGCACTTTGGCAGACGAGACTTTCTTCTCCTTGAAGAGATTCGTCGAGGTTACAATACCTTAGGACGTTCATCAGAGAATGTATATGTGATTCCTGTCAATCGTTACATAGCAGAATATCATGTATAAATACATCCACATGTTTCACAGGTTATCGAGCTACACTGTTGCATGATCTAGCTATCAAGAACCTATTCCATTTTTGCCAGCTAGATGCTTGCATGTAGCAGTAAATAGGGAAAGAGACAACAAATGGAAGAAGCAACTCACAGATGTGAAGTAAAGACGTGTCCTCACATGACGTTCAGGCGTCATGACATTTGCATACCTATAGGGAAAACGATGATAGTAAGAAAAACAGCGAAGATATTATTATGTTATGTTAAACAGGAAAAATGCTTTTCATTTACTTTGGATCTAGTCGGTATTTGGTTTCTTTATCTTCATCGTCATCTTTATTCTCTCCAGTGGTAGGCCGTCTTAGCTCATCGCTTTTAATGAAAAGTTTTGGTTGACTACATCTATCCTCCTTTCTCGGCGAACATAAGGACACTGAGACTTGGTCTTGACTTTTCTTCAGCTCAGCAACACTCATGGCCTCTTCTCTTGTGTTCCTCAAGTCAATCAAGATTTTACCCAGCAAGCGACGAGCAATCTTAATTTCAAAGACAGAAAAGCATATAGTAAGGAACGAGACCATCTGAAAAAAAAATCATGGATCCTCAAGGAATTGAGCCTAACTAGACACTCTATGCCTTTGTGGGAGCAAGATTGCCACGTTGAGAAACCCACCTTTGAACCGATTTTAAGCTTTTGCTGTGGATTGATCCCATACTCATTTGGGATTACACCATCTGCTAGTAACTGCAACCACACCATATAACTGGTTAATCAACATAGTTCATGATCGAAATGCAAAACAGAGATGTACCAATAGTTAAGGCCAAACATAAGAAGATATGGCTCGGTAGTGAAGTAAAATTGTCTCAGCAAGACAACTGGAGGATGTAACATTGAGAACTACCATTGAAGTTTCAGAAAATGGAAGAGAGGCTTCAGTTTTTATATTCAGTTCATACCTGAGCAACTTTGAAGAGTTCGTCTAGTCCTTTTAGGTTGAGATGAGAATTATGTAACAAGTCATACCTTGTATTGACAACACGTTGCACAATATTCAGAATGGAGTAATTTAAAAGCAAGTTAGGATGGATATATAATAAACTGAAATACAAAGCTTACTTGCATGAATCGTAAACATCAGGAATCTGCGTTATGTCGAACCGGCTGCATTTAATTACAACTATCAGTGCCAACTAAAAAAAAAAAGTCATGCAGAAAATAAGGATGAAAACTTGACAAGCGTTGACACTTACTCTCTTCTTTCGTTGTAGAGTTCCTTTTCGAGTTTCCTCCACCGCGCATACATTAAAAGGAATCCTTCACTACCACAAGGTAATCCAGCAGCAATCCGGCCAACGTCAATATTTGACTTTCCAAGGGCTTTTGCTTGGTCATAGGGAGGGACAACATCATAAGCGCTAGGCTCAGTGGGATTCTCTTCTTCATCTTTTGCAAGTAGCCTCACTTGTTCAGTCACCTTTTTAGCTAATTTTACCTATTTATTTAGAGAGTAAACAGAAAAGTAACATTGAGTATATCTTTTGGGCTTAGAGAATATCAAAAATGGAAGAAAATTGCAGCTAAAAAGCAAATAATACTGTTGATGTTTAGAATATGATCTGTAACAGTAAATATGATCTGTAGCATAGTGACAATTCAAAAAACAGATAGAAAGCCTCCAGGTTGCGAAAATGCTAATAGACTTAAAAGTTATGCAGAAGAAAATGTGAGTACCAATTCAGGTAGGCTCTCATTAGCGTGAGGAGGAAGTCCAACCCCATCGATCATCCAAGGTGATTCAGAAGAGACGTAATCATGTACCAACTCTGTGCCGGCGGTTATGATCTCATTCAACTGGGCCTGCAGGAAAGATAGGAAAGAAATTCAAAGCTATTATAGTTGACTCAGCTTAACGAAGATTAAATTCAACCATAAGTTTAAACATGAGCAAGTGCATTTGAGATCTAATCTACAACGCTATGCATGTCACGACGTAGTATCTGTTGATGCTTCAGACGTATGACACAACAGGCTTTCATTCGTTACATATCTTCTGGATCCAAAATCAAGTTTTCAATAAAGAGAGAGAGAGAGACAAACCTTGGCCTCTTCCATTTCACTGCTTGCAGTATCCAGGCCATCCAACATGGAAGAGTCCTTGCTAACTAGAGAAACCTAGAGAACAAAAATAAGAAATTTAATGATTATGACATTATATAAAGCACGATACTACCTCGCAAAGTAAACGGCAAACCAGGATTGGAGTCAGCTGTCCTTCTAGGTCAAGTAGGCCTTTAGCAAAAGCAGCTGCAGACATCTGCAAGCAGTCTAACTACATTCATACTTTGATCTGGGGTATGTAAACCGATGAAGAATATACAGAAGACTGAAGGTAATATTTCAGTGCTCTATGGTCATCTTCACTAGTAAATCGGTATAAAGTTGTACCTGAACACGTCCCTCGTCAGAACTGTAAATTTTAAGGTCGTGACGATATGTACTATGGAGACGGAGCAAACCGGTACCTTCACCTGCAAGCATGTCCCATTTAGTTACAAACCAGCCAGAAGTTAAGCATATAGTTATCAACACAATGAATAGACTGTCTCGGAAAACTGTACGAGACATATGGAAAGTGGAACATAAGATCAAGCGCGTCACCTGGATACATATGGTTTCGGAAGTATCTACCAAGTTCTTCTGCCTGTGGAAACAAATCAAGCAAACATTAAACAATACGTCAAGCCCCTCCATCAGCAATACCATAACTGAAGTTTTATAATGCATTTAACATCTTCTGATACAAAATAGCAATGTTACCTGCTGTCGCCCAGCATGAGTTAGAACACCCCCATATTTCAATATCATAAGAGCCTCCACTGGGCGTTCTTCCTCACCGTCACCATCACTTTTTGTTATTTTATCCCATTTCAGCGGCTTTAGTTGAACCTTCCTGTATATACCAGAGAAATGTCCACCCTGCATGTTTTACACATCTATGACATGAGACGAGGTTTGCAAAAAATATGTGCCAAACATCTTTAAAACGGAGGGTAAATCTGTAGCTGCTACTGCGTACGGGGACTATGTTCTCTAGAACGGCATTGGGCTGCATAAAGCTAGAGCTCAGAATAAAGGAAAGTAACTCTTAAATTATCAAGGTACACAACCTCTTCAAGAACAGCTTTAACTTGCCGAAGCTTGTCAGCATGTTCAAGGTCTTCTGCATCACTATCACTTTCACCTGGTCTAAACATCAACAGAAATACAAATAAAATAGTTACTGCCAATATGTAACCAAGGAAGCAGCTAGAGAATATTTCGCAGAGTTCTAAGAATGAGGTAGGCTTCTTCATTTCTTTCAACCCATCCACGAAAGCCATGGATCCACTGTCTCTATTCATTCATAATAAATTATGTATCTGAGGGTACGACTCAGGCAAATAAAATGCTGAGTAGAGTTAATGTAATGCAAGTAATAAGAGCTATCAGAGGGCTACATTGTACGAGGAATTAACATTCTTGTGGCATCCAATAGATCTTGCAATTGGACGGCAGTTTTAAGCTTTGTCTGCAAGCAAGGATAAAATTTCACATCAATATAATATCACTGAATGAATCTGAAGATAGAAAAATCCTGAGT